ACGACCTTTGAGGAATTGCCCAAAGCAACTATCATTGCGGTTTCAAGAGCAGATGCTAGTGATATAAGCCCTTTGCTTTTGTCATACACAATTAAAGTCCAGTACAAGCAGCCACCACATGGGGAAAGGTAAATAGAAGCTGAACAGGGACATAGTACCACAATAGCGTGGATCTGCAAGAAGGCGCACGAAAGAGATATGGTCATCTGGTGCCCTCTTCTTCCCCAACTGTTCCTCTATCAGATAATATACTATCTGTACAACAAAAAACTTTACCAAAGCGGACAGCCACGCCAAAATTGGTTGCGGCCACTGAAAGCATAACCGGAGAATGGAATATGGTCATTCCTCTCCACTCGTCGATCGAACAAATCGAGGTAACGAACGCTTTTATTTTGCTTTATCTGACTATTTCTCTAAGTGGAATAGAAGCAGAAGCAATCCCCCAGGAAATGCATCATATTCTCCAATGCAGGCAAAATTAAACAAACTAGGACTCCTCCAGGAAATGCATCATATTCCCCAGCGCAAGCAAAATTAAGCAAACTGGGACTCGCCTAGGAAATGCATCATATTCTCCAATGCAAGAAAAATTAAGCAAATTGGGACCCCCCAGGGAACACCCTTTAAGGCCAAGAGCCTTAGCCAAAAAAGAAGAAGAGTTCGACCTTGATCGAACGACGACGGGTTAACATTTCGATAAGTTCGAAATAACACCCTTTAAGGCCAAGGGCCTTCGCCATCAAATAAAAGAGAGGTTCGACCTCGCTCGAACAACGACGGGTTAACATTTCGATAAGTTCAACATAACACCTTTTAAGGCCAAGAGCATTCGCCAAAGAAGAAGAGTTCGACCTTGATCGAACGACGACGGGTTAACATTTCGATAAGTTCGAAATAACACACTTTATGGCCAAGAGCCTTCGCCAAAGAAGAAGAGTTCGACCTTGATCGAACGACGACGGGTTAACATTTCGATAAGTTCGAAATAACACCCTTTAAGGCCAAGGGCCTTCGCCATCAAATCAAAGAGAGGTTCGACCTCGCTCGAACGACGATGGGTTAACATTTTGATAAGTTCGAAATAACACCCTTTAAGGCCAAGAGCCTTCGCCAAAGAAGAAGAGTTCGACCTTGATCGAATGACGACGGGTTAACATTTCGATAAGTTCGAAATAACACCCTTTAAGGCCAAGAGCCTTCGCCAAGGAAGAAGAGTTCGACCTTGATCGAACGATGACGGGTTAACATTAAGATAAGTTCGAAATAACACTCTTTAAGGCCAACACATCTCTCATTAAATAATGGATTAAGTAAATCTGACAATGTGATAAAAGCTAAGTTTGCAGAATTAGCCAAAGTAAAACCCAAATTACCTCAAATAAGAGTACTAATATGATAAAAGAAACGGAAAAGGTAGTTTGGAATGCTAGTAGCAGGTTCAGTCTTGAGTGTTTCTTGGTTTTAGATATTTGGCTGGAAAGAGAGCATCTCGTGCAAGGGAAAGATGAGTTTAAACTGGAGTCGTTAAAATATTCTAAAAGACTACGTACATGACCATTCACAACAGCTCAGTAAACTATCTTATAAAATAAGCATCGAGAGAAACTCATATCATTAATTTTTGGGCTTTTGGCTAAGACTTATCTTCTCAGCAAAATATCCAATAAGTGGAAAACAAAGGGGCTCTCGCTATAATTGGTCCTTCTTTATACTTTTTGATAAGCTCGAAGAAGCATGAACTGTGAAAGCTCCACAGTCTACAATAGAGGAAGCGATCAGAAGCTTCCAAGGAATAGAAACTAGAATGCAGAAATGTAGAAACCAGAATGCAGAAACTAGAATGCAGAAATGAGAAATTATCATTCATTATGCTGGAGCTCGATTCTTACATACAGTGAGATCAACTAATGACAGCTAAGTTACAGCTAATCAATCATTAACTAACCAACTCCTAACAGCTGTAACTAACTAATGGAAAACAATAACTAACTAATGGAATAAACAGTAACAACTACCAACTAACTATCGGAAAAGAGAAAGAGAAATAAAAATGCAGGTGCTAGTGTACTGCTATAATCTTAATAACCCCCCCCCCCCCCCCCCCAAGTTGGAGGTGGACAAAACACAGCCAACTTGCTCAAGACAGGAGCATGCTTGATCCCAGTGAGAGATTTTGTGAGGATGTCAGCGAGTTGATCACCAGTCCGTATATGGTGAAGCAGGATGAGACCTTCAGTAAGCTTGGACCTGACAAAGTGACAATCAACTTCAATGTGCTTAGTGCGCTCATGGAACATTAGATTTCTGGCAATGTGGAGAGCAGATTGACTGTCACAAAATATGAGAATAGGTAGGGCAGGAGGGACAGTCAATTCTGTGAGCACTCGATGCAACCAAACAAGTTCACCAACAACCTTCCTAATGGATCTATACTCTGCTTCCGCTGAGGAAATGGAGATGATTTCTTGCTTCTTAGATTTCTAACTGATAGGGTTGCTGCCAAAAAGAACAATATAACCTGACACCGACTTCCTGGAGTCAGGGCACACAGCCCAATCAGAATCACAGTAGGCCTTAACTGAGAAGTCAGCTTCATTGGACATGAAAAGACCCAAGGTGGGATCCTTGAGTAGATATCTAAGCATATGGTATGCAGCTTGAAGGTGAGGCTCTCTAGGATCCTGCATAAATTAGCTTAGATGTTGTACTCCATAAGCTATGTCCAATCTAGTGTTGGTGAGGAAGTTTAACTTACCCACCAACTGTCTATAGAAAGTAGGATCAGATAAGGGTACTCCTTCCTTAGCCTTCAACTTTATCGTGGGATCAAGAGGAGAGGACAGGCTGGTAGAATGGAGACAGTCATATTCCTTGAGAAGGTCAAGAACAAATTTTCTTTGTGAGATCAAGATTCTACCATCTCTGTAAAGTACTTCAAGTCCCAAGAAATAGTGTAGTCTTCCTAAGTCTTTGATCTTAAATTGTTCATGTAGGAAGGTTTTCAACATTTGAATTTCAGTGAGGTCATTTCCTGTGAATAGAACATCATCTACATAGACTCTCACGAACACCACACGATCAGATGTCTTCTTATAGAACAAGGATGTAATCGTACATAGAGTGACTGTAACCTCTGGAATATAGAGCCTCAGTGAGTTTAGCATAACATTGTCTGCTAGCTTGCTTTAGGCCATAGAGAGATTTATTCAATCTGCAAACTAGCTCAGGAGAAGAAACTGGAAGCCCTTGAGGTAGTCTTATATATACTTCCTCATGCAAATCTCCATGAAGGAAAGCATTGTTCACATCCAGCTGAAATAACTCCAAGTTCTTCTTAGCTGCAGTAGCAATTAAAGCTCTAACAGTGGTCATCTTCACTACTGGGAAAAAAGTTTCTGTGTAATCTATTCTAGCTTTTTGTGTATATCCTTTCACAACTAATCTAGCTTTATATCTTTTCTATGCTTCCATCTGCTTTGTGTTTGATCTTATATGCCCACTTGCAGCCTATGGCTTGCTTTCCTGCAGGCAATGGAACCAATATCCAAGTGTTGTTTGCATGGAGTGCTTCAAATTCCTGAGTCATGGCATGTTGCCAAGTAGGATTGACTGCGGCTTCTTCATAAGACAGAGGTTCCCTGGCATTATAGATGCTTCTCACAACCTGATGGCTATCAGTATTCAGGACCTCAGGAGTGATATGATTGCTTTGGGTAAAAAGAGCATTCAGAAAAAAGGGTGAACTGGTCTGAGTGACTTCAGTGTTTTAGGGTTGCTTTAGGTTAGGTATAGAACAAACATATTCAGACAGTTAAGATGGGGTCTTAGACCCTCTACTAGACACCCTTTAGTTTGGCCTCAATATAGAAGATGGGAGTTGATTAACCCTTGATGTGACTGGGGTATTGCTGGTGGTGATGTAGTGTTAAGAATTGGAGGTGAGTGTATGATGTGGTTAGGTGACACTGGAATGGATGAGGTTGTGGTGTGACTAGGTGATGGTGTGGGAGAGGGACTGTGAGTAGGATAAGTACTGAGAATATCAGAGTGATCTTGATGTGTGATAATATCAGGCAAGGAATAAGAGGAGTTTGACATTGATGGAAGTGAAAAAGGGAAGATTGATTCATGAAAAAACACATCTATGGACACACAAATTTTCTTGGTAGCTAGATTTAGCACTTTGTAGCCCTTAACACCAAAAGGATAGCCTATAAAAACATGTGGAAAAGTTCTTGGTTCAAACTTATCTCTGTGAGGTTTGGGAACAGTTGGATAGCACAGGCAACCAAAACTTCTTAAATGTGTTTGGTTTCTTTCCATATAGCAACTCAAAAGGGCACTTATTTTTCAAAGGTACAATAGGTAATCGATTGACGAGAAAGGTTGCTGTAAGCACACACTCTCCCCAGTATATCAAGGGAAGTTTGGCTTGAAACAGTAGGGCTCTAGCAGTTTTCAATAGGTATTTGTGTTTTCTTTCTACTATGCCATTTTGCTGGGGGTGTATAAGGGCAGGTTCTTTGGTGTTCAATTCCTTTTGACTGGAAGAATGAGGTGGCTTCAGTGCTAGTGAATTCTAGACCATTATCTGATCTGATACACTTTATACTAGTAGCAACTTGTGTCTCAACTATGGATATAAAACTTCTGAGAGTGTGTAATGCATTGCTCTTGCAACTGAGTAGATGAGTCCAAGTGGATCTACTACAGTCACCTACTATGGTGAGAAAGTATTTGAAATTGTCATGAGTGGGTACATGATAAGGTCCCCACAGGTCTACATGTAGGAGATCAAATATGACAGTGGTGTTTGTGACTTTTAAGGGAAAAGGAAGTCTAGCTTGCCTGACCATATGACATATAATGTAGAGGAAAGGTTGTTTTGGTGCAAAGGTTACTGGTATATTATATATCCTTTTCATCTTCCTAAAGGATACATGTCCAAGTCTGTAGTGCCATAATAAATTCATATCACTTACATCAATTGAGAAAGGTTTAGAATTATCACCCCAGCTTGTTTTATTGCAAGTAAAATTATTTACAGTAGGAAATGGAGACACAGTATTTACAGTAGAACTAAGGATACAGGAATGGGAAGGACACTGAGTATTTACAGATGGGCAAGTTTGACAAGAATGAGAAAAATAAGGTGTTGTAGCAACATGGCTTGCATTTTTTTTGCTGCTGTAGAACTTCCTTTATTCAAACAGTCTGAGCAGAGAAGGTACAGTCCATCATGGACCTTACTAATCTCCAGAGGCCTCTTCAGAGAAGGGGCCTGCAGAAAACAACATGTGTTAGAAAAGGAAGCAAGACATTTGAGATGTGTTGTCAATGAACTGATAGAGATGAGATTATATTTGAAGGATGGGACAAATAGGACTCTATGCAAGACTATTTTAGGTGTAAGAGTTACAGTTCCTACTTCTGTGACTTTGACTTTGTAGCCATTAGGTAGTTTCACAAGTAAGGGATAAGGTAAAACAATTATGTTCTGTAGGTGTGTTTTGTTGAAGGTCATATGGTATGAAGCTCCTGAGTCCAGAATCCATAAGTCAGCTTTTGCTTGAAAACATTTGCATGACAGTTTATCAAAGTCTATAGAAGAAGTACATGTCACAATACCTGCAAAATTCACTGTTGCATTGGCTGGATTTGTGTTGCTTGAATTGTCTCCTGCCTCATTGCTTTGGAAGTGCTAAAGTAGCCTTATTACTTGATCATATTGCTCATTTGAAAGGTTAATATTCTGGCTATTCTGAACACCTTGGTTCTCTGGATCTTCTCCCTGATTTGACATTATCTCTGGTGGCATAGCCTGCACACCAGCTATAGCATTTGCTGCAACATTTTTCCCCTTATTGTTCCTGGGATAATGATTGTGATTGTTCGAATTGTAACTCAGGGCTCCTTGTTGATTAAACTGTTGTGGATATCCATGAAGTTTGAAGCATTTATCCTTGGTGTGACCTTGTCTCTTGCTGAAATTACAATAAGGCCTAGGTCTGTTGTTTACTGAGAAATTCGTTGTGAATCCTCTTGGAGCTTTCATACTGGCATTCATTGCAGTAGACTTAAGATTCAATTGATTCCTTGGTCGAAATTCCCTTTGTTTCTTCTCTTGCACCAGAAGAGCAAAGGCTTGTACCATTGAAGGCAGAGGATTCATCATTAGGATGCTTCCTCGAACCACAGTATAAACCTTATTCATGCCCATTAGGAATTGTATCAACCTCCTATCCTGTTCAACTTTATGCATATTCTCTTTCGTACCACAAGTGCATTGACAGTTACAAATGGATTTTGCACTCAGATTGGTTAATTCTTTCCACAATTTCTTCATCTTTGTGTAGTATCCAGTGATGTCGAGTACTCCTTGGCTCAAATCATTGATTTCCTTTTAGATTTGGTATAGTTTTGATCCATTCGTCTGATCATAACGATCTTCAAGTTCTCGCCACAATTCTACTGAGCTACTCACATACTCCACATTGTCTGCAATTTCTTTTGCAAGTGAATTCAAAATCCATGATGTTACCATATCGTCACACCTCTCCCATTGTCTAAAGCTTAATGAATTCGCATTAGGCTTTATACATTCTCAAGTAATAAAACCTAAATTGTTTTTAACAGATAGGGATCTCAATACACTTCTCCTTCATGAACGATATCCCAGTCCATCAAAAGGTACTGGAACTAAAATTAGCCCAGGGCTATCAGAGAGATGAATGTAGAGTGGACTACTTACATCGATCGTCGATTGGATCTCCGCTGTTGTCGCATTTGCAGTGTCTGCATCATCTATCGCCATGTTTGCCTAAGCTTGAAACGAAGAATGAACGAGAAGGAAAATTGCCGGATTGAGAAGACGAAGGTGCAGAAAGCCTCGCTAGAATGAACTGAGAAACGAGCCCTAATTTTGAGTGCGAAGAAGACAGCAGACTGCAAACTATGATTCAGTGGATCGTCTCATCGCGAGACATGCTCTAATATCATGTTAAGCTCGAAGAAGCATGAACTATGAAAGCTCCACAATTGATAAACAACAAAAAGAATTCAAACAGAAGCTTTAATCTTGTTTGTTTGCATTTCTCAAACGTATTGCTGGTTGATTTTCTCTTGCAAAAATTACTACATTTTATGGATCAAGTTTGGGCTGATACATGGGTTCATTTGGGCTGCTAATTTTTAATGGGTTAAGTTGGTCAAAACCCAAATCAGCCCATTATCAAAATCACTCTTGCCCAAAACCAATGAACCTTGGACGGATTGGGCGGGTTACATGGATTTGGGTCAATTTTGTCACCCCTAATCATAACTGCTGCGTGCTTTAAAATTCTGATCTGTGCATTTTAAAATGCTAGCACGTAAGGAAAATCCTACCCAGTATACTTTAAAATTCTTGTAGGGTTATCTGTTGCCTAAGGTAAAAAAATCAATAGTGAAACAAAAGTATCATGTTTATGTCGTTCTCCGAGCGCTATGGACAACGGTTGGCCTAAAACCTGGTCCACTAGACTGGCCCACTTGACTATAGGGGCAGACCTAGAAACCAAAATACGGGTTCGACGAATCTTTGTATTTGTCTTAAGAAAATTTAAATAATATATATAAATTATTAATTTAGAATTCAATAATTTAAAAAGATAAAATCTAAAAACCATAAGTTTTAAATTCTGGCTCAGCCTATGCTTCATTGACATATATATGCAAGCCTAGCTAAGTAAGACCTACGAAGTTTTTTGTTGTTGCGGCGGCAAAGGGAGTGGATAAAAGTTTCTTGTAGAATAATTTGAAGTTAACATTATATGTATGTGGCCAAAACCTAAATGGCAAGTTTTTGGACTCAAAATAAGTTTCTACGGTTTGAAAAAGAAAGTTTCTTTTCTACCTAAAACGCGTATTATACTACGTTTTACTTTAAAAGAATGTTAGCCGTTAAAATAAAACGCATGCTTAGTCCCTGTCGCGGGAAAACATGTATCTTGTATTGTGGGAAAACGCAGTATCTTTCCATCCCAAAGAGATAAGATCTGCTTTGGGGCCTGAGGGTTTTACTTGCTGACATTGGAACTCCTTGGGGAATATGAATTTCCACTAAAAACTTTCTCATTCTCCATCAAAGCCTTTTCTTTTCCTCCTTCTTTATCAACTACTTCTGTAATTTTCCTTTCTTAAAAAATTCTAATTTTCTGGATTTTCTTCTCTAGTTGTGATTGACACCCAATAGTCACACGCTTTCTTAATCCTTTGCTTCTTTTAGCCCTAGGCAACAGATAGTAGTAATGATCTACAGCTTGTTCACAAACATAAGGATTCCTTTTAAAGGCTTTATCTTTCTCGTACTCTTCAAGAAGATAAGGGATTATATCTTCAAGATTTCCTCATTTAAGGTTAACAACCTACAAAACAAAATACAATTCGTAAATTTGTCTTCTTTTTTTTTTTTCAATTTAATAATATTTTCAAATTCTCTTCAGAGAGATGATGCTTTTTCAGTAGTTTTGACTTCTCTATTTATGTTCTTAATTAATTATAAATACTTTCTGGTAAGTAGTCAATGCAACTAGGCGCCAAAATACCACTGATAACTCAAATCGCAGACAACAATTTATTATTGTGTAAAATAAATAGGGAATGTAGTTACTACAACAATATGAATTTTTGCGTTGATGTCTTTCTTTTCCATTGATCTTCACAAACTTCACAGATTTGACTACATTCACAAATTAGCGAGGAAAACTAAAATGTGTGGCGATGGAAAACACAGTATTTTACTGCGTTCTCCCACAATACAAGAAACACATTTTCCCACGGCAGGGACTAAGCACACATGATGTAAAGCACAGTATTGCATTTTACTTTAACGGCTAAAATTCTGTTAAAGTAAAACGCAGTATAATACCGTGTTTTAGGTAGAAAAATAACTTTTTAATTTTTTTTTATAGAAACGTGTTTTGAGTCCAAAAATATGTCATTTAGGTTTCGGACTCTCATATGTATACTACTGTCTTCAATCATTCTCAGTTACTAAGCTTTTGTTTTCGTTCAAAAGTATAACGAGAAGACGAATGAAGATAATTGTAGACAATTAAAATTTTATTAAATTTAAATCTACAAATAATTTGGATTTTATCATATATTAAATACATATCCAAATGATACTACAAGCTAGTATAATCGAGTCGATTATTTAAATCTAAAATAAATTTATTTAAATAAAAGTATAGTATATTATTGGGCTAGCCCGTCAATTGGTCTTCTATCAAATGAGTTGGCCCATAAGCCTTAAGCCCAATGACCCACTAGGGGTTTCTTGGAGACTACTTCACCCCACACCTATATAAATGAGCCAAAGGAGACAGCTAAGGAAGAATCAGGTAAGCAGAAGGAAAGGCTAAAGAAGCTTTGAAGAATAACATCAAGGTCTCCATCCACATCTGCAATCTTCGTATGTGGTCAAATCTCACAGGTGAACACAAATCATAAGCGAGCGGTTTCAAATCTTCCATTCTTGATAACCTAACAACAAATCCTGGTTCGTGACGACCTTCAAATTGTTCGTGACACACCATAAATATGAAATCCGTCAAGTTCAAGATCAAGCTCTGAAGCTCTTGAACCACGTTCTTGAGGAGAAGAATCAGAGGACTATATCTCTTTAGATTCGAGATATTCTAGAGATTGTAACCCCATCACTTGAAATTGAATATAATATTTATCGCTATATTTCTTGTCTTGATTATTATTTTTCAGGAATGAAATTTAGTTGTTACAAATTTTGGCACGCCCAGTGGGACCATCTCTACCTCTCATCTCTTCTCAACTCTCAAGATTCAAGATCACTAAGATGGCTTCAAAGAAGATCAACTCAAAAGTTACTGACTCCAAGTTTTCTTTTGACGTTGAAAGTATCATGAATGCTACTATGGGGAGTCTCGGGCCAATCATCTGAAGCAAGACGAGCGTCTTAGGACAACAAGCACTCCAAGTGTCGTATGTACCAATGCATGATTTGAGATCTTCATATTCGAAGAAGAAAGGTCCTCTGCTAGCAAATCAGAGAGAGGAGATAATATTGCAGATGTTATGGAGAAAGCTCTTGCTCAACTTACTCTATACAATACCAAGAGTCAGCTTACCCAACCTGATGATGAAGTTTTAAGTGTTGGATGTACACCAATCTCGCCACATGACATGTTCCAAATTGAGTTCAATCCATGGGAAAGTCTCGGTTATTCTTCATCATCTGCAATAATCATGGAGGTAATGATGACTAACTCTTCGACAATAGAGGAGCAACTCGCAAATCTGACAAAGGCGATTGATGGCTTAACAAAGTATGCTCAAGATCAAGATGTCCGTATCGTAAAATTGACAGGCATAGTTGAAAGAATGATGGATGGAGAATCAAGTCATGCACCTAGAAAGCTCCCTGAAGTCCACGAGAAGGATGGTCCTCCAACAAAACAAGTGTCATCCGCCAAAGAACTTCATGTCTCCTCCGAAGGATCAATTCCCGTTGAACAATTGAAGGAATTCATTGTGGGAACTAACAAAGATAAGTATGAGGTTGAATCAAGGTCTTCTCTCACGTACGCAAAGCCGTATACTGCAAGAATCAATAGCTTGAAGATGCCTGCCAGTTATCAACCTCCCAAATTTCAATAGTTCGACGGCAAAGGAAATTCAAAGCAACATGTGGCGCACTTTGTTGAGACATGCAACAATGCAGGGACTTATGAATATTACCTTGTCAAGTAGTTTGTCCGCTCACTAGAGGGTAATGCTTTTGATTGGTACACCAACCTCGAGGTTGGATCAATTGATAGTTGGGATCAATTGGAGAAAGAGTTTCTTAACCGCTTTTATAGCACAAGGCGTACTGTGAGCATGGTGGAACTTACGAACACTTGCCAACAAAAAGATGAACTAGTTATTGACTTTATTAATCGATGGATGAATGCAAGCCTCAACTGTAAAGATAGGCTAAGCGAAGCTTCTAGCATAGAGATGTGCATCCAAGAAATGCATTGGGGACTTCGTTACACCTTGCAAGGAATTAAGCTCTGGACACTTGAAGAACTTGTCACCCCTGCTCATGATATGGAGTTGAGCATGGCTTCTGTGGGAAATGAAGGGCTGCCCATCTACGAACCTCGCAAGGGAAAAGATAAGCAAGAAGTCAAGAAATGGAGCAAGTTTGTACCCAAGAATGAAAGCAAAGAATCCATGAACGTCAATGCCTCTCCTTTGAAGTTTACTACCAAGGTGAACAAGAAATAGAGTATGAAAACAACTTCCTCTCAAGACAATGCAAATTGGAGGATGACTCTCAAAAAGATTCAAGAAAAGAAGTACT